CAGAATCATGAGCTGCCAAAATCTATACTTGTTCTCCTTGTCTTTCAAGTCTTCATACTTGATAAATTTTTTTAAGTTTAACGTGTAAACCTAGTAAGGTTAAGAGTTAGGCAGATCCTAACGTCTTGACCGCAGTAAGTTGTAGTTAAGAAATTTTGAGTAGAGACTTGATAACGTGACCACCTCAAGTTGAAGAATTCTACGGTGACAGCATAGACACTTTATCTGATGAAAGTGTTAATTCACATATTTGGATATTTCAGAAAATTATTAAAGCAACTAATATTTATCTGACTGTTATTCTTACTGATACAGATCTGACAGTTAATACTGCAATTCATCAAGTATTTACTACAACTTATCCAATTCACTGCGCCTATCATATTACTCAGAATTTATATAAAAATCTTAGAAAGGTACTAGAGAAATATATAAAAAGTTTCTTGAAGACTTTTATCAATATCGTAATAGTTTAGAAGAAGTTATCTTTTAGTAATAATTTGATAAGCTGATTCAAGATTATCCTAATGTACGAACTTACAGTGGCTATTAAAAGAAACGCGAGTGTGATTAGTTGCCTTTGAATGGCTATAACTCATCAATCACAAATGCTAGAAACATGATCTTGTATTTTTTTTAAAGCCCAAATCTTGAAGGATATCTTGGCGAAATCATGTATCAAGTTAATAATTTCAATTTTGAGTAACTTAGCGATCTCATCAAAATTTATTACATAGTAAAAGTTCGGGTATAGAATAATTTTTTAAGCATATTAGCTTTCACAAAACTGATACTGGATTCTGATTCTCCTCAGTGCGGTGATTCCAACAAGTTAAATTTCGTGGGAATCGGACTAGCCGATCAGAAATTATTGTGCAACAAGAATCAGCAAATCATTATATAAAAGGGGTTCAGCTACTTTTTATATAATGATTTGCCGATCTTTACTGCGCGATAATTTCTGATCGGCTGGTCCGATTCCTACGAAATTTAGCTTGTTAGAATCGCCGCACCAAGAAGAATCAGAATCTAGTGTCAGTTTTGTGGTAGCTAGTATACTTAAAAAATTATTCTATACCCGAACTTTTACTATGTAATAAATTTTGATGTAGATTGCTAAGTTACTCGAAATTGGAATTATTAACTTGATACTAGATTTCGCCAGAATATCCTTCAAGATTTGGGCTTTAAAACAAGTATAAGATCATATTTCTAGCATTTGTGGTTGATGAATTATAGCTGTTCAAATGTAACCAATCACACTTGCGTTTATTTTGGTAGTCACTGTATTTAGAATTTCTTTATAAATCAAAAATATATTGGACACATTGTTTTACATTTTTTAACTTTACAGGAGGCATAATTGCTACATCACATGTAAAATCTGTAAATGCAAGCTTAAAATATTATATTATTCAAATGTTTTGTTATATAAACTTATAACTGAAATTAACAGACTGTTAAATATTCAAGATAAGGAGAACAAGTATAGATTTTGGCAGCTCATGATTCTGGCTATTAGAAATCAAAATAAAGGAAATTTCCTATTTAATAATGTAGATAATTGTATCAAAAGATTTCTTACACTAACAATTTTACAAATGCAGTGAAACAAGATCAATCAATTGGTTTATTATACTGCAAATGTTATTACAAGGGAAGTTTCAGAAACTTCTGATCAAAACATCAAATTAAATAATAATTAAAGATTCAATATTGATGATACACAAATTATCTATCTTTAACCAGCTGATCAATTTTATAGGATCAGAAAATATACAAGAGATATGAACAATTAAAGTTGGCAATACATTGAAGGTCAAACATCATATTTTATTGTTAAAAAATCAATCTCACATATATTCTTGCTTTTCTATTATATGATGTGGTATAGTATGCAGGTATTATTTTCAATTAATATTAAATATAATCTTAGAAATTTTCATATCAGAATGTTATCTTTATGCTGGTATTATAATAAGGAAAATAGAGCAAAAGAACCCTTTATAGTTACAGACAAATACTCTCAAAACCAATCTATTGAAATTACTACTAATTGTACAGTTTCATATTTGTATCTTTTTAAATAAGAAGCAGATTTTAAAGAAGAAAATTTAACAATCCTTAAATAAAAGATAATATATAGAAATATTAGTGATATATACAAGAAAGCACTTAATAAAGCATTGCAAAGCAAAGAAAAATCTCAAGAATTAATGGAAATGCTTCAAGATTTTGTAAAAAATAATATTGATGATTGGTCAGATTTAGAAGATATGCAGTAGAATGATCACTTAGATAAAGAGAATATTAATCCATCTATTTGCCAATTACAAAATCTGAAAGTTCGTCGTGGTAAAGACCATCCGGTTAGTACTAAAAGGTATAAATCAGAACATAAAGTGTCAAAAGTCAAGACAAATCAACGATAATATAAAAAATATAAAGATATTAGGTATTAACAAAAGAACTACAAGGAGGATTAGGAGGATTAATTTCGATTTGTCTTATATAAATTGCATTTATTATAATCAAATAATAAAGTTAAATCACATGATCATTGATCATATGATATTATAATTAATAATCTAAATTATATGATTTACTATTATGTTATTATGATAGTTTTGTAACTTCAAATAAAATCTCAAAAGGGTAAATAAAACTAAGACAATTATTCAAGGAATTATAGGTGAGGATTCACAATAACGTCAAAGAATTATTCTCAATAATAAACACGTGAGATAAATACAAAATAAACACAAAGATAACTCAAAAATATTTTAGAAATTACGCTTTAAAGACTTCAAGTCAATACAGCAAATCAATAAAATATCATATAATAAGTTCACTAATGAAAGAGATTACACAAATGCAAAGGGTTACAGATAATTTATAACAGTTTTAATGGGTTTGCGAAGGATAAGTTTATACTTAGTTAATTATACTCCTTTATTAATATAATATATAAGTTTGATACCTAAAAGATTAATATCTCGTAAGTGCTGAAACTCAAAAAGATATTATACATATTGAATAAATAATAAAATAAACTAAACTAAATATATCGAAGGAAATAAAGTTACTATTTCACTAGGCAATAAAGTTGTCGTATCAATAAAATTGCTAGATCTGCAGGTAACTAAATGGATATCCATAATTTATGTGATTATCAAAGGCAATAAAATTGACATTTAAGAATTTACATAATTGATCGATAATAATAAAATAGACAAAATGATCTTTATAGAAGATCTACATAGCAATAAAATTGACTTCTATTCTACTAATTAAACCTATCTAAAATTTTACCTGTCACATTTCCCTCTTCTTATATTTAAGTTCCATTGAAGAATTTTTTTTTCTTCTTTTAATTCTCTTAGACAAGACTGTAGGGGTAATTCCTAGTTCTTAAGCATATTCCTTTTGCATTTTTCTTTTTTGCAAGAGTTCTTCAGAAATTTCATTTTTTGGATTCTTCTTCCTAGTAGATTTTATTCATTAAATCTATCAATTTATCTGACTTAGTCTTATCTCAGAGGTTTGTAATTATTAAAAGTAACTTGATATCATTTTTTTTAACACTTTATTAATCTTTTCAATGTTTCCAATATCATGTTGATATTTTCTTACAAAGTGACTCATTTGTTAGAAATTTTTAGGAAAATTGAGATTCAAGGTTTAATCAGCATCCTTTTATATTTTCTAGTTTGTTTACTCAAACATAGATCACAAGGTTCTAATTCTGCCAATTATGATAGATTTTCAGTAAACTTGTATTGATTGGTATCCTAAGAATTTGTTCTTTAGTAGATCTTAATTTGTACGCTCTATTGAGTATTATATCATAGATATAGAATGGTCCTTTTCATTTTTCTTTCAACTTTCCAGTCCAAGATTTCTCTTTGGTAGCATCATATAAAAAAACTTTATTTCTAATTATGAACTCAGTTGGTCGCTTAATTTTTGAATCATATCACTTCTTTTGCTTTTCTTGTGCTTTTATCACATTTTCTATTCTAAGCTTTCCAAATTTATTTCCAAAGTTTCATTTTCAAAAGCAGTAATTGGTAATCTCACTTCTCTTCCATAGGTCAAATAGAATGGTATAAACTTTATAGTAGAATTTTTCGCAGTTCGATATGCAAATAAAATGGAGTTTATAGCGTTATTCTATTCTTGTAAATTTCTTATCACTTTTACTATAGATTCATATAAAGTCTTGTTAAATCGCTCAACTAATCCATTAGTTTGAGAATGATACAGTATTGATAATAAATATTTAATTTTGAACTTGTTCATTAAACCTTCTACTACTTGATTTCTAAAATGTGTTCCTCAGTCAGAAAGTATAT